ATTTGTATGAAATTATGATTTATTATTTATTATTTAGTGCTCTTATAGCTACAAAGACAAAACTAATTACGATGTAAAGACATTTCGTGAAATTATAAAAATTAAAATTAAAAAAATCACACTTAACAGAAGTGTAACTACTGAGACATGGAGTCAGCGGGTAAAAACTAGCAAATGACCAAACTCTCAAGAAATTTTGTCGGTCCACCCATCCTGTATAAATTATTGGAAAAAGATGAGAAGAATATTTTTAATACCATTCAATGTCAATACGTGAGAGTAAATACAAATACGTGAATAATAATGAATATAACGTAAAACTTAAACTTGCAATGTGTGATAAACATCACACAAGTCATGCTACGGGTAAAGGAACTAAACGGCCACCACAAGTATAATAGGAAGCAACAAACGAACACTAATTTGGGTAGATGGATATATTATCTATCTACCCAAATTGTATTCAACTAAACGTCGTTGTTTTGCATCATGTGATCGCTGCCATGAGTTGCTTTTGTTTTCTCGTATTCTTTCCCGTAATACAATTTGCTAAAGTTTTGGTAAAATATTATCTATCTATCTATCTATATATTTAATACAAAAAACCAAATTAAATTAACATTCAGTTTCAGTCATTTCGAGATGAAATTCATCGAAGCAATTTATCATGAGCTAATTCACCTGATAGCCGCACAAACGTCGCACCTACGTATATACATAAATGTTTAATTTGCCATAGCAATACACATAATTATGACATTAAAATGTCCTCAGCTGTGTCGCTCCCTCTTATTCCAATTGGAATGGCGCAGTGGGCGACGGCTATGTCAGCCAGGCGACAGAGCCGCAGCGCGAGTGCTGAGGTCAACCAGCCGCGTCTACGCTCAACTATTTGTCACACAACAGGGTCATACTCAGAACCACATTACTTTGATTTCAATGAAGTGATGACCCCGAGCTGAGCTGCCACTCATTAAACTTAGAAATAAACTTTGGCAACACTTTTGTTAATTCTATTTTTAGGTACAACTTTAAATGCGAAAATGCGACGGGGTCTACAAACCGGAACGCCTCAGCTTTGCAGGCTTTGAAAACTTCAGTACTAAAAACCACTAAATTGGTTTACTGCATAACTTTGTAGTGACGATTCGAAGTATATTTGGATTTGAATTTAATACGCACATAACGAAGACTGTAATCTAACTCAAGTCGGTAAAATTTTGCATTAAAAATGGAGGATGGTGGTTTATTAGAGAGAACACTCGCCCTCTGGTGGCGATTCATACTATAACTTTCTTAATTTCTATCAATTTACGTCATCATTTTGTCCTCGGTATGGGAATTGTATAATTATATAATATTTTCCATGTTGTAAATTATAATGATTATTATTAACCGCTTAAAGGTGCGTGTCTTAATTAGAAGGTAACGTGTCAACCAGCGCCAGCCGACCTGAAAACGTCCCTGAATCGAACCACGGCTCTCTCTCTAAGGAAGCTCGAGGACGTTAACAAATGGCAGATTACTTCGAGTTTACTAGATTCCCACCCTAGACAAATGTCGCAGCCACTCGCCCGCGCAGTAATGAATGTCACTTTGAAAGCGATATTATGCAGAGATCCATCACTGACACGGTGAAGTATAGTTTGTAATGTGTTTAGCTTGTTACTGTTACACCGCTAAATAAGCCGTTTTTACGCCTGTACGTACGTGGACTAGAGCACCGAGGCGTATTGAAGTATTAAAAACGGTAACTTTTCGATATTAGAGACTAACTAGCCACCACTTCCACCAGTCCATCTTCCAATGGGAAATTTGTGAGCAACTAATTTATGTTTGTAATAAGAGGATCGTTTTTAGAAAAACCACAAGTCGGCGTAAAGCTTTTAATCCACAAAGACGTGCGTTACTCGTTTCGGAATTCGGTCTTCGGTTCTCTTCCAAAATAACAGTTCAAAATCATCGTGTGACTACCCGTTAGGAATTAGACCACTGCATGCACTGGTGAGTCTAAAGGTGTCTAAAGACTAAATCCAGGAAATACGAAGCGCCCACCCTGAGAAATAAAGGCAAATCTTTATTTTTATTCAGTGAAGTAAACGCGGAAGGTTCCTACAGGCGCGTTATTATCGGTTTCGCAACAACCTCACTGACGGATACGAATAATTTTGACAACGCATTATCATTAGTCAAACATTTGACTTCATTAAAATCATGTTGTGCCAGGGAAATATTATAATTAAAATGCAAAATGTGTCATTTAAATAATGGTTGTGTAAATTAGAAACTTAGTTTAGAGCAAACACTAATTAATTTCGATTTATTTCGTAATTATACGGCGTATATAGTGCACAATTGAATGAGCGATTATAGCCCGGTTATTGCGCAATTGGGAGTTCGACGCCGACGGTTTAAAACCCTGTGGTTGTATGTGCCTATGAAGAAAACATCCTGGCGAACAGCGGCCTAAATCCATTGTACAGTGAGTTATTGATGATGACGGTGACTGCAAAAGGAAAACAACTGATGCAATAATTACGTATTTTTTCTTCCATGCCACTTGTAACTACGAGCTAGGCAATAGTCTCCTTTGGTTCCTATTGCCAATATTATTGAAATTGTTAGTATTACGTTTGAAAATGAACATTTGTACGTTGTATAACAATCAGTTATTCTTTGCAACATTTTAGTTTCAATTGAACATTTAAGTTTGAAGTTATACATAAGCAAAAATAACAAAACATAAAATCTCGCTCAAATTGCAAGAGATTGCGTAGCAGTTCGTACTAGGTGTTTTTGTTTTGTTTTCAAATTCTTTATTGACATCAAATGTTTCACGATGCATTACATACACAGTAATTCATTACAATAATGACTTAATTATGTTTTATCAGACTAAAAACACCTACAAAAATTTACAAACATTAGATAAATTTGAACTAACTCATTAAAACGAAACATACATTTTAAGTTCTTGATATTATTACGAGAGATTATTGTAAATTAAAATCACGAGGCCTACCAAAACCTCTTAAAACAATATTACTTTAACCTTACATTGAGTTTTCGTACCATGAAGTGATTAAAGTAACTTATTATTGTTAAAACTATGATGTTTTATTGGCAGCTTTGTGACTATTCATTCACTCAGTTCGTACTATGACGCGACTTTAACACTAAAGTAATATTTATAGCTCTTATATCAAATTTAGGAATCTTAAAATAGTTACTTGGACGCAGTGGAGACAATATTATTTTCGAATTTATTGTCTAAATATTGATTTGTAATGATAAAAATATAAGTTGAACTTATAAGTGAAATTATTTTTCGTTAAATAAAAATACGCGATGTTTATTTCATAAAATTATGACAGCGACATCTATTTGCTCCAACACCAACAGTTGACACTAGACTATAAGTCCGAATTCACAACGTGACTATCAAGACTCAACTTGTTTTATTTATTTTACTTCATGAAAATGCGGAAAAATAATTGAAAACAACGTAATTTTAATACATTTTATTATTAGATACTTGTCTTTTTTAAAAGACTCCCAAAAAAAAGGAGGAGGTTCTCAAATCGACTGTATGTTTTTTTTTTGTATGTATGTTACGCGAGAACTCCGGTATTTGTAAACCGATTTTCATTATTCTTTTTTTGTTGGTAAGAGTGTACCTCCATACTGGTCTCTTTAATTTTGAAGAAAATCATCCACCCCTAAGAGTGGCTGTTCACGCATGAAGTTTCTTTTTTTATAAATAGCGCTTGAATTTTGTTATAAGGAGATATTATTTTAATGATTGATTTTGCTGTCCTCCAATTCAAAGCGTTTTTCTCTCTCAGTACACTTTGAGTAGTGAGAACCGATTGTTTTTATCTCCTGTCCCAAGTCCCGTGTAGTGGCGAACTAGGGGATGAATCCGGGTTTGCGCACTTTCCGGTAACCGATTTCAATAACACTTCGTAGATCTAACGTACTTTTGATTTCGGTTTTTTTAATACTTTGTACTGAGATTATTTAAAAGTTAAAATTCTCTGAATGTAAATGATTTTGCCGTTCATACTTATATTATTTTATTTAACATAATTTTTAATATACCAAAAACTACGTCATTACAAAGTTTAAATAATAATAAGAGTATTAATAAGAAGAGAGATTACACTTAATTAAGTTGTTTGGTATTAAGGTATTAAAATTTTAACTTGAGTGAAATAAGTCTATAAGAACAATTTTTATTTTCTAAAACCATTTATAGAGAACTATTATCTAAATCAATACCATATTAAGACTGTTTATAGATATAGCAGTTTTAAGGCGTATAAAGTGTGCTCCTTGGGCTGTCAACTATAGACCTATCTCAGTCACTTCCATACTCTGCAAGACTATGGAACGTGTGCTCAACAACCGTCTCCTGTCATACCTTGAACGCAATGACCTTCTCAGTGATCGCCAGTATGGATTCCGACGAGGACGATCTACCGGGGATCTTCTTGTGTATGCCTATCACATATGGAGCGAGGCTATAGAAAAGCAAGGCGAATCACTTGCAGTGTCTTTGGACATTTCTAAAGCCTTTAACAGAGTCTGGCACGCAAGCCTTTTAAGCAAGCTTCCATGTTATGGACTTCTCACTGACCTTTGCAATTGGATCTCGGATTTTTTGAGTGAACGTTCCATTCGAGTAGTCTTAGAAGGCTATTCTTCCGAACATATGGCGATAGAGTTGCTCAGGGTTCCGTACTGTCTGCAACTCTCTTTCTGCTGCATATCAATGATACGGATAAGGAGTACGTGTTAGTGATAACGAGATATTGGTGAGTTTTGATGTTGTATCATTGTTTACAAATATACCGATAAAGGGCGTACTTATGATTATTTCTGATTTAGTAGAGTGTATTAATTTACCTGTCGGTTATATGACCTTTATACAGTACACTCTGACGAGGGGATACTTTATGTGGAGGGGTGATTACTTTTTACAAATCGGCGGCGTAGCAATGGGATCACCGATAGCTCCGGTGGTGGCTAACATATTTATGGAATGGTTTGAGGATACTGCGCTGGTGAACATTTCATTCGAACCGAGATACTGGTGGCGCTATGTAGATGACGTATTTGCCATTATGCCTAAAGAGGGAGCAGAGTCGCTATTGGCACACTTAAACAGCGTTCACCCGAAGATCACCTTCACCGTGGAATGTGAGCAGAACGGGGTTCTTCCTTTCTTCGATGTGTTGGTGAGACGTGAACATAACGGTCGGTTGTCTCATGCGGTGTATCAGAAAGCAACGCACACGGATAGATACCTGAGAGCGGATTCACATCACCACCCGGCACACTTAGCCTCAGTTTTGCGGACGCTCATTAATAGAGCTTTGAAACTTTGCGACCCGGATTACATAGATGCTGAACTAAATCATGTGAAGGTGGGGAGGTGGGAGGGATGTTGGTTGGTAACGATTACAATTGGAAACAGAGTTGGCGTGTGGCAAATGCATCAACAAGGCCTCGACCGGCATCGGCAGAGAGAGCGGTAGCGTACTTACCTTATGTCAGGGGGGTGACGGATGTGATTGGAAACTTGTTACGCCGAAGGTACAGCATCAAGAGCATATTCCGACCTCTCACACAGCTGCGACAATTGCTTCGCTCTCCAAAGGGAACTCTGGTCGGGAACGTTGCACTCATCCCCTGAAGAAGACCATTGATTATGGTCGAAACTAGTCGGACCGCTTCCGACTAAAATACTACGCGAGTAAGTCCCATTACTTTTATATTATAATGTGTGATAACCGTGTTAGTTTTCATAATAAAATAGTAATATTATTATAAGCTTACTTTAAGCTTACATTAAGTCGTTGAGTCCTTTCGTGCGCCCGCACACCAGCAGCTGCGTCTGCGTCGGGTGGGAACAATAGGTAGTGATGTGGTAAGCGGTACGTTTTGTATCTGTCGATATCGAGGCATGTCCTACTCCAGATCGGGCAGGCATATGTGATACATGACCGTATAAGAGTTGTGTAAAGTTTTAATTTTGTCTGTGGACTATGTTTGCTTTTACGATTAAAAACGGGACCTAATGCTCCCATAGTTTGAGCTTCTTTTACTCATAGGTTGGACACGTGTTTAGGCCAGTTTAGCTTAGTGTCCATACTGACGCCTAAATATTTTACCGTTTTATTGCATGGTATACTATGTCCTAATATTATTAAGGTTCGCTTTGGAGGCTGACTTTGGAGAGTAAACAATATAGCTCCTGTTTTTGTCCTCATTGAGTTTGAGTCGCCATCTGGTGAAATAAGATTGTAGAAGATCTAGGGACAGCTGTAAACTATTATACTGTGAATATCATTTGATGAGATATATGACGCGGTGTCATCGGCGAAACAAGCGAGACTAGTCCGACTTTGTTTAGGAATATCATTAAAATACAAGATAAATAGATATGGTCCCAAGATAGAGCCCTGAGGCACTCCAGCTGATATTGTTCGGCTTGAGGATGCTTTATTTCCAATTGATACTGTAAATTGGCGGTTGCTTAAATAAGATTTGATTATGGCAACTAAGTTAAGACGTATGTTTAGTTGTAGGACTTTATGGAGTAGTCTTTCGTGCCATACTGTGTCGAAGGCTTTCTCAATATCTAAAAGAAACATACCTGTAGATTCGTTAAGATTAAGGTGTTGGGAGATATGCTCTGACACTTGAACAAGCTGCTGGACGGTTGAATGAGAGAACCGAAAACCAAATTGTTCATTAATTATAAGTTTAATAGATACGGCTAGTAAACATTATATATATTTTTTTCAAATAGTTTACATAGGTTTGGGAGTAGACTTATTGGCCTGTAACTTGCAGGTACTGCTTCGTTTTTGCCAGATTTTTTAATAGCAATAACTTTAGCAGTTTTCCAAGCGTCTGGAAAATGGCTCAGGTATAAAGAGCTGTTGAATATTTGTGTATGGTGAACTATGGATTTACGCGAGAGATTTTTAAGAAGTAAATTAGTTATAGTCAATGAAACTATTTTTCCGGATTTAAATCGCGTATATTTGTTTTGTCCCATGGTCACGATTGACGGGTGTCGGCAATGGATGTCGTCAACTGTTTCACTTCTTATCGACCAGTTAACTTGAACGGAAATTGCAAAATTATATATTTAATATTTAATTACCGATGAAATTTGATTCCGTTTGTTTTGTAATTAGATGTTTTGCTGTTTTCCCCACACCTCTGAATAGAACAGCACGGCATTGTTAGAGGTATTATCTTTATTATAATTAGTACATAATATTTTTTGGAATATACGGAGACGTAAACACAGGTTAGTAGTTGGCCTGTCTATATTTCAGTGCAATGTGTTACCAGGAACATATGGCCCTTATTTCGTCTCTATTTCTGGTTATATACTCGATGGTCCATATCATCGACAAAATTTAAAGTATTTACATTTTTCAACCAAGTTGTATGTGTTCAGCGTACTTAAACTAAGTCATTTCAAACTACGTTGAAAGACATGTGTTGTAATTCACATTTATGATTTAACCACACATAACACATTTTTGCGAAATTTGCCTATGAAACGAGCCTGATTTTGTGAAAATAATTTTTTGATTTAACAATTACTACGATTTTTTTTTAAATATATTACTGTAAAGAATATTAAACTAAATATTACAATGTATAAGACTGCATTCATAACTCATTTTACGATTTTCTGTGGGTTAACACCTTTATGCAGAACACGGCCCAAATAGTATTCAGCATCATATTTTGAATGCTTTTTAAGTTTTAAAGCATGCCATTTACTGTTATAGCCGATAATATAAAATCTTGCTCCTTATCGACTTCATTTACAGCTTGTTGCAGCGTGTTTATTGCTCTATCTAGACTGTTTAGGTGTTTGTTTATCATCTTGTGTTGTTTCGCCATAATTTCTTGTGTTCTTTTAATTAAATTGTATTCCGATTCCACGATGGATGTTTGGTTGACCCACAAGTTCTTCAAATGTCTGTGGTTTTGTTTTATAAGCTCTATATCACGCGTGTACTGTTCCGCGAAACGATCATCTAATACGCCGAACAGGCTGTTAGCTATGTTGCCTACTTCATTGATAAGCCCTCGTCGCTGTCTCGAGTGACCACTAAAGTGCTGCGTAAGTAACATCTGATTGTAGTATTGTAGTTCAGTGTATTCGTGACTTAGCTGTGGTGTGATCATATTACATTTGTAGTGTTCTTCCATATTACTGCATGACATTTCGAGATAATTTATTAAATGCTGTTGTTACTTCCCAGTACGGTGACATATCGTAATGCGCTACCAAGGTCCATTGGTCTCATATAAGCTGCATTTTCGCCATCGGATCGAAGTGACTGTTATTAAGTTGGGTTATGTTACTCATGCCGTAAGTGTTGAATATGAATGTCTTAAAAAATGTTAGCGCCATTAAAACGGAGGAAAGTTGTAAACGACCTCTGTTACCCGGTTTTCGAATATTTGTGTTATTCTTCATTGTGTCCAATTTCTTTTTACAATCTCTGGTTTCATTAGGCTCGGGGTCAGATGGTTTAATAGGCAATACACACAGTTTTACTATTGGTCATTTTATGCAACCATTTTCTGTTTTTACACACCTTCGTTCGTAGCTTTCCATCTTGAAATTGATAATTATTTTTTCGATGCTTCCTGCGGTTTCCGCTTGTTTCTTCAGAAGATTTCTTCTCGCTGTTAATGTTGCAATTCACCACACCCCTATGCTTGCTGGTTAGTTTAGGATTTTTGATTCGTTCTATAGTATGACACCCGCTTCTGGGACCAGGCCAGCGGACCGACCGGAAACTCACCAAAAACCTCAAAAGCTCGAAGGACCAATGTTCGGGGTAGTGGTGATTGATGTTGTTGATCGTGGAAACACACTTTCAGTTTATAAAGTTTATTGCTCAAAATAGTTAAAATTATGTTATGTTAAATGTTAAGTAATATTATGAATGCACCCGATACATACGACTTATTGTAATGCACTAAAGTACAAGGAGATCGATGGCGCATGCCGCCAAACGCTTACTTTAATGGTGTTTGATTACATTGAACAAATTACATTCGATAAAATCTCGGCCCCACAACTAAACATGCGCGGCCAATTCAAAATAAGGTACAACTAGAATCTTCATTTTATATAGTATTGGCAATAAATTAGAAATCCGTAGTACAAAAGAAACTTTTAGGTTATATTTTCGATAGAAAATAGTCAGGTCTAGCAAAATTTGAAATTCTGAATTTGGAACTATTTCAAACGAAATTCTCGTTGTGAACACGGAGCCGACGTGACGAGGCGACAGGCGCGGTCACAAAGTGTCACGTTCCAATCGGGCGTCGCCGCCACATGGCTAAAGAGATATACGTTCACACAGTTGTGCACAAGACGCTTTTACGGCTAATTGTTACTTAACCCAAATATTATGGTCATTTTAATACTTTAAAAGGCAAGTTAAAAAATAAAAAGGTATTAGAACAAAAATCAGACAATAAAGTGAAAAAAAATGATTCTGTGCATCCTGAAAATGAGGTAGACTGGCAAAATGCCAAGTATAGCTTTCTCTAGAAATAAAAAAATAAATGCATCATCATTCGCATGCGTTACTTAGGTAACAGACCTGGGTACGCCCTTTAATCCCGGTAACATAAAGTAAATCTAAATATTAAATATTAAGTTGCAACGTGATCAACTCCGGGACCTCGTCTCAAGTAACACCAAGAGCGCTAAATCTCTAAGCCACCAATTTCACCATCTGGACTATTGGTATGTCTCTCTAAATTCTCTAAAAATTGGCCGTAACGCAACTCATCGGACGCGTGACACTCGCGGTGACAAAGTGTCACGTAGCAATCTGTCCGCTGGGCGCACGCACGGATCACCCCGTACCTTGTTTACTCTTTTTCCCCATTTGTAACGCCTTGTATTTTGTTATACCACGATTGCGTATCGTTTGTTGATGCCAAGTAAAAGTTGGAGTAAAAGTACCTGTTTTATTTATTAAGTAGGTTTACGTGAGTTTTGTTTTTAATATGTAGATTTTAAGACGAAAATAAATATATTGTTAGGAACGTATCAGCACGGAGCTGCCAACCGACCGACATAGTTGCCAACTGTAGGCAACGAATACAATATAAGGAGTTGCAAATCAAAGTAACGGCTTTTTGCTGGTGTGCTCTCGACGCGTATTTACCTATCGTGGATTTGTATAACGTTTCGTGCTTTTTAAATTTGAACAATCGATTTTGTAACCGATTTTTATTTCATTAAAATTATTTTTAATTTCTAGTCGTTTTTATGATTTATGGTATAGATTCCTAACAATATAATTATTATTGTTTACTATCTCCCGGTAATAATTTATGTTGATACACGAATTATGGAACTAGCCGCCGGAAGGCGGTTTTCAAAAAGGAATTTGTGTTAGTTACGGGATTTAATTAATAAAAGTATTACAAGTTACATAATATATGTTTGCCTTAAAACTAGTTAGGATATGGC